CTCTCTCTCTCTCTCTCTCTCTCTGCCTTCCTGCCTCCTGCTCGCCTCCCTACAGTAAAGATCTCCTGCCGGACCTCTCGGTGCGTGAGTGGCCTAATTGGGAAGGGGCACCCGAAAGGGCACGCGAACCCCCTTTCATTGTGGTTTGCACAGGGACTTTGTTGTTTGTCCTAATTTACGAAGACTGAGTGGCCTGGCCTTTGCCTCACTTCATCCAGCTAGGGAATGATCTCATGGGAAAGGGGTGCTCTGCACACCCACATTTAACAAGACAAAGCAGAGGTCTGGCTTGGAGGTTGGGCCAGTGTCTGGATGCCATCGTCTGTTTGCAGCCTGTTTTCCTCTTTCCTCACCCTTCCTTGGGTTTGCAAGCAGTATCAGATAGCACAGAAATAAGCAAGAGTATTTCTCCCCCACCCAGTTTTGGATTTGAATGGAACTTCTAGACTTCAACTGAAAAAATGCCTGCATTTGTTCAGGAGTTGATGTCATCTAGCACGTGACTGCGTAGAGCCAGGGTTTCAGTGAAGGACGATGTACTTCTTGTATCCTGGATGATTACCAAGTCCACACCATCCTCTTGAAGGTCATGTTCAAAGGTCAGCCAGGACCCTGGGCTCAGCTGAGGATTTTCTGTAAACACAACTGTTTGGTCTGAGGAAGTCTTCAAGCCAGGCTTTCTTGGGCTCTCACTTTAACATATTCCTCTGTCAGCTTGCAGCTAATTTGTTTACAATCGCCTGCCAGCCAGGGCTGTCTTCCGCATGTCCGCATATTCCTATCCAGGAATTTAACAAGGAACTCAGCACAAGATGGGCTCTCTGTAAGTATTAGTGGGTCTACAATGGAGCTTTATTTCCAGACTTGAATTCGCCTTATCGAATCTCTGTTGCTAGCTAGGAGGTCATTGAAACATCAGAGTCTCACCGCAAGAAATTCTCGTCCACTCCTAATCGATTTGAGAATGTAATGACCATAGGCGGCACAGACTGACCAACTGGCCCTGCGTGGGAAGTTTGCACGAACCTCAGCTATTGCTGTTTTACAGGTCATCGGGCAGGGCAGAGACTGGAACCCAGGCTGACTTCGATGACATATGCCCAATTGTTAGGTCGAAAGGCACAGTGTCCATTCACAAATCTGAAATTAAGTTACGGTGCCGTTGCCAATCCAGGGAACAACCTTTGCGTATTTATTTTAAATCTGCCCACCTGGGGAAGAACTTAGGTCTTTTTCTTTGTCCCCCCAGGCGATGTGTTTTGGGGAAACTGCTTCAGCTTTCCTTTACCGCAAGCAGCGATTCTGGCTTCCGGCGTCCACGCGGCTCCGAACGGCGCCGCCCGCCCTCCTCCCTCCGCTCCGCGCATCCGGGGCCCGGAAGGGAAGCGGGGCGAC